TAATTTTGTCTCAGGCTGTCACGATCGCTTACAGATGGGACGGACCAAGGCGCAGCGTGATATGCGCACATGTTTATTAAATATTAAACACAACGACAAAATAACGAACAAAACTAAACGTGAAGTCCAAGGCAGCACAACACAACATACCTTACACGGAACAAGATCCCACAACCCACTAGTGCCAATAGGCTGCCTAAGTATGGTCCCCAATCAGAGACAACGAGCTACAGCTGCCTCTGATTGGGAACCACACTGGCCAACATAGATCTACACATAATAGAAACCCAACATAGAAATACACAACATAGAACATACACACCCTGACTCAACATATACGAGTCCCCAGAGTCAGGGCGTGACAGTACCCCCCCCAAAGGTGCGGACTCCGACCGCACAACATAAACATAACATGGTAGGGGCCGGGTGGGCATTCCGCCTCGGAGGCGGATCCGGATCAGGGCGTGACGACCACTTAGTCTCCGCCTCCCTGTTGCGCACCTGGTCTGGTCTGGACCTCGGCGCACCGCTTCCCCTCTCCTTCCTCCCACAAAGTACCAAGCCCTGTCTGGACCCTGGTGTGGGAGACCCCGAACCAGGAGAGGGGCTGACGTCTGGGTCTGGACTGGAGACGCTGACCGGAGCTGGACCGGGCACCGGTGGAGCGAACTGCACAGGCTCCGGACTAGAGCCGCTGACCGGAGCTGGACTGGACCCCGGTGAAGCGGATTACTCTGGCTCCGGAGTGGAGCAGCTGACCGGAGCTGAACTGGGCACCGGTGGAGCGGACTGCTCTGGCTCCGGAGTGGAGCAGCTGACCGGTGCCAGACCAGGCACCGGTGGAACAGGCACGGGCCGTGCCGGACTGGACACGCACCACTGGCTTGGTGCGAGGAGCAGGTACAGGCCGGGCCGGGCCGGGCTGGCGACGCGCACCACTGGCTTGGTGCAAGGGGCAGGAACAGGCCGGACCGGGCTGGTGACGCGCACCACTGGCTTGGTGCGAGGGGCAGGAACAGGCCGGGCCGGCGACGCGCACCACTGGCTTGGTGCGAGGGACAGGAACAGGCCGGGCCGGGCTGGCGACGCGCACCACTGGCTTGGTGCAAGGGGCAGGAACAGGCCGGACCGGGCTGGTGACGCGCACCACTGGCTTGGTGCGAGGGGCAGGAACAGGCCGGGCCGGCGACGCGCACCACTGGCTTGGTGCGAGGGACAGGAACAGGCCGGGCCGGGCTGGCGACGCGCACCACTGACTTGGTGCGAGGGACAGGAACAGGCCGGACCGGGCTGGCGACGCGCACCACTGGCTTGGTGCGAGGGACAGGAACAGGCCGGACCGGGCTGGCAACGCGCACCACTGGCTTGGTGCGAGGGACAGGAACAGGCCGGACCGGGCTGGCGACGCGCACCACTGGCTTGGTGCGAGGGACAGGAACAGGCCGGACCGGACTGGCGACGCGCACCACTGGCTCGGTGCGAGGGACAGGAACAGGCCGGACCGGGCTGGCGACGCGCACCACTGGCTTGGTGCGAGGGACAGGAACAGGAACAGGCCGGGCCGGGCTGGCGACGCGCACCACTGCACCACTGGCTTGGTGCGAGGGACAGGAACGGGCCGGACCGGGCTGGCGACGCGCACCACTGGCTTAGTGCGGGGAGCAGGAACAGGCCGGACCGGGCTGGCGACGCGCACCACTGGCTTAGTGCGGGGAGCAGGAACGGGCCGGACCGGACTGGCGACACGCACCACTTACTTGGTGCGAGGAGTGGGACTGGGTTCCTTTATTAACCCCCGCTCCTTCTGCTGCCTAACCAGCTCCTCTCGCCGTGCCTCTACACTTTCCTTCTCCCTTTTAGCCTCCTGTAGCCTCGTCATCCACCCCGTGTGCCCCCCCCCCCCCCCCAAAATGTTCTTGGGGTTGCCTCTCGGGTCTCCGTCATCGGCACTCCTCTTCCTGTGAGTACTCCTCCGGGAGCCCCCACGAGTAAGGGAACAGAACCTCGTCGTCGTCGTCATCCTCCGACTCCTCAGTATAATACTGTTCCCACTCCTCTTCCCATGGTCGTAGGGACCCAATCTGAAAACCGACCGGGTGCAGTGGTCGGGGGTCTTCTCTCTCGCTTCCCGACCACCCCTTTAGCCCCCCCAAAAAAATGTTATTGGGGCTGTCTCTCGGGCTTCCTCCTCGACCGGCGTCCTCTGCGTTGCCGTTGCTCCTCTCCTGCCTGGGTATTTACCTTCGCCCATGGCCCTTTCCCCGCGAATATCTCTTCCCATGACCACAATTTGCCCACCTGGGACATGGCTATTCGCTCCTCCTGGGCACGCTGCTTGGTCCTCATTTGGTGGGATCTTCTGTCACGATCGCTTACAGACGGGACAGACCAAGGCGCAGCGTGATATGCGTACATGTTTATTAAATATTAAACACAACAACAAAATAACGAACAAAACGAAACGTGAAGTCCAAGGCAGCACAACACAACATACCTTACACGGAACAAGATCCCACAACCCACTAGTGCCAATAGGCTGCCTAAGTATGGTCCCCAATCAGAGACAACGAGCTACAGCTGCCTCTGATTGGGAACCACACTGGCCAACATAGATCTACACATAATAGAAACCCAACATAGAAATACACAACATAGAACATACACACCCTGACTCAACATATACGAGTCCCCAGAGTCAGGGCGTGACACAGGCTGATACTGCCTTAGGGCAGAGGGTAAACCAATAGGAGCAGAGCTCCCCTATGGGGCGGAGCTCCACGATATAGAACTGTGTGTGGTGTCAACCTCTTTAAAGTGGGGGTGAAGTAATGGTTAACCCTGACCTGTTTTAACCCCTGATGTCATGCGATAGATAAGCCCTAATGACACAGCTTCGGTTGAAAACACGGTATAGATAAAATAAACGGACGTCAACTTTGCTTCTGTGTAATCTATCCTCTAAACTGTCAACTATCCTCCAAACTGTCAACTATCCTCCAAGCCAACATAAAAAATAAAACAATATCTTAATTAATTAAATAATTAAATACACACATACAGAGCACATCAGAAACTTGATCAGATTGCTGGTCAGCAACCAGACTTTAAACCTGCTATTAAGCATTTGCCTTAATAGATAAGGACCTCCTGCCCCAGGTATATGATAACAACGCACGTAATGACGCACTCACACACACACCCCTGGACACATGCATGAATTCACGTACAAACTCATGCGCGCCACACACACACACAAGCTAACATATACACACAGGACTAAGTAAACCCAACGGTCTGTCCTATTGACTTGCCATATTGATGAATTAGATGTTTGTGCAGGTAACAGGGGACGTGGGAAATAAGGTCATAGCCAGACATAATGTTTGTCTAACGGTGAGTCCACAGACAGGATGATCTACAGCTGAGAACACCTTTTGACAATAGCCAGGCATTGGTGTGTTCTGTGTCTGAGTAAACAAGTGTGTGTGTCGATCTGTTTTGACTAGGTGTGCTAAACCTGACTATACTGCACGAGGCTGACGGCATGATGCTGACGGCTCCCCTCTATTCCTACCCTCACTGCCAAATGAACGGTGTGGGTTATTGCTCAAGTGCAACCACCTACCTATTCCATCTAGCTCTGAATCAGAATTTGAAACAGAACTGAGTTCCAAAATGTTCTGACACTATTGGAGAGAGAGCGAGAGAGAGAGTGAAAGAGAGAGTGAGAAAGAGAGAGTCCACATTATGCCTACACATGGTTATGCTCTTATCTCGGCTGCCATTTGAAACAGAATGTAGAATTTAGAATTTGTCTTACAATTGTTCGAAGTGAAGTCAGAGTAGTTGCTCTACAGGTAAAAAAAAAAAACGGTATATAAAGTCATGATGTTTTCATCTTATCGTCAAACAAATCACTTCAAAAAGTCGGCTATGCGCATATTCGCTGGAATACATGGAGGGGGGGGGGGGGGGGGGGGGGGCGGACATGACACTGAGGTGGGGGTTTCCTATAAATTTGTAATACGCGTTTATTTTCATATTTACCACTGTAGCAGTACAAATTACATTTGAAAGAAATCGGAGAATGGTTCAAGTTGTATTATTTTGAGACCCCCCCCCCCCCCCCCCAAAGTTGACTTTAGTTGCATTTAGGGGGGCTCATCTCTCATTCAGGGTGGTTTAGCCCTTCCTGGCCCCCAGTAATTCCCATTGCCCCATAGGCCTACATGCCCTCTACAGGCCTATGGCTGTGTACTGGCCTGTGTGTATTGTCATACAGTCTATGGTGGTTGTGTGATGTGTAGGGTTGGGGGCAATTTAGAAAGTAAACCCAATTCCTAATTTTCGTAATTGAAAAGCACTGAATTTCTGTGTACTTCCTGAATTGACTGGAATTGACCCGATCCCTGGTGATGTGAAGTGTGTGTGATTATTGTTTTATATGGACTATTGGTTTATATGGACCTTGGAACAATGGTGAGAAGGTTATTATTGGCTGACCCCCTCCCTCCGTCTGTGTCGATTCCAGTTGTTCATTAACAGGTGAGTTAGGAAAGCACAGGTGAGTTGCCGAATCTAAGAGGAACAAAGCAGGTGTGTAGATCCATATAACCTTGTTTTGAAACAAAGCAGTGGAGAGATTTCATAGTCAGTCATTACATTTAAAAAACGTTGAGATATTCTGGGAACTACATTTTCATAGGCTGTTTTTGCACACATATTTTGTTTTCTTTTCAAACTGGAAAAAGTGTCTGGACTGAATGGAACATATGAAAGGAATATAGCGTCAGAATATTGGGATATTTGGAATACAAGAGGTGACAAGTAACAATATTTTTTGTTAAGTTTTTACTTTTTGGAATTAGTAGAACATTTCTGGCAATTGGATTTTGCCAACCCACAGCTCAAATGTCTTGTAATTGAACATCTCCTCAACAGAATTGGCAAGAGAAGAAGTTGTCTAGAATATTCTGTAGCCTATACATTCAGTCCTCAGAATGGCTTATAGAGCTTGGTCGCTGTGTGTCTGCTGGCTGGTGCTGATCGCAGGCGGATGCGAGGCGACCTACCCGCCCTGTCTGGATGGGATCATGATGAACGTGGTTCTGCTGGATGACGACATCTCTCCCTGGAGTATGAAGTTTGTCCGTGGCGCTGTGGAGAGTGCGATCCAGCTCGACGCTGAACTCACCTGCTGTCCAAACGGTAAATGTAATCATAATTGTACAACTGTAAATTAATAGTGAGATTACACAGGGTTTCTAGTTCAAGCCCAAACGCAGCTGATCCCCGTTAATTGGTAGTATGCAAGCACTTATATGGCAGGCTATAAAACAAGAACAACATAGATTTACAGGGGTATTCAACCGAGGTACTGCAGGGAGTCTGCTAATTACACTCACTGGAGCATAGCCGCTGAAAGTAGGGGTGCTGAGGATGCTGCAGCACTCCCTGAAAAATAAGAAAAAAAGTATTATATATATTTTTAACAATCTTTTTCACAAAGGTAGTGCAAAGGGGCCATTACTAGCATTAGCGGACCGATATAGAGGTCTGTAGTGCTGCCCAAACCTTTTTTCAGCATCTCTGCTTTGGCAAAAAATAGTAGTTGTATAGTTAAGAACAGTATCTTGCAGGATTCAATAGTTGGAATTGTAAGAGTTGTTGCCCTGTCTCTTTCTCTACGATTGTCATTCTAATGGAATCCAGAACGAACAAAAGGTGCAAAGTTATGGTCGAAGACATAAAACATCCACATCAAATTTATCTATTGATCAGATAACATGGAAACAACCACTTTTTGAGCAGTATTAATTTACCATCCTAACAAACCCCTTAATTTAAATGTACATTATCGTATTGTACATAGGCTGGTCATCTAGGTTTGTACCTGTTAACTTTCCATCACCATGAAGGAAAACAATGCACAATACAGTAATTGAATACACTGAGACATCAAGTGGTTTGTGATGATGTGATGTGATGATGTGGCTCAGTTGGTAGAGCATGGTGCTTGCAATGATAGGGTTGTGGGTTCGATTCCCATGGGGGACCAGTATGAAAATGTTGCTCTGGATAAGAGAGTCTACTAAAAAGGAATGAATAGACCATTTCAGTTTTCACATAGAAATAAGTTGCATTTGCAAAGTATTTCAAGAAACTGGAAAACAGATATCTAGCAAGTATTTTTATATTCCACAAGTATTATCAGATTAACTGTTTTGTACAGATAATTATCAGACTCAAGTTACAAATGCTGGTAAACACTCAAATACATTTAGTTTAATTTAGTAGTGCACTGGGCCTTTACTGGTCCTGTATTAGCGGACCAATGTAGATGTCTTCAGCGCAGGCAAAACCCCCCCCCCCCAACCCCACACCCCCACCCCAAACTACTTCCCGTGGCTATTAGTGAACATGTGTTTGGAGTTACCGTTGTAGTTAAAAATCAAATAAAGTAATATTGGTCGCATACACATATTTACAAATGTTATCGTAGGTGCAGCGAAATGCTATTAGTCTATGTTAGAGTTGACACTTCTTCCAATTATAATGTGGGGACTGGGGAGGTTGATTACCAAATCTATTAATTTTAAAATGTTGATTACTTGTCCTTGCCATTATCATTCACCAGATGATAAGAGAAGATGTGGGAAAAAAACATGGGAAAAAACATGTTTTGCTAACATATGATGGGGGTCCCTAGGTTGCCGGTTTGCCAGTTTGCCTGGGTAGGGGTCGCTGAGCACCTGGGGCGGCAGGTAGCTTAGTGGTTAAGAGCGTTGTGCCAGTAACCGAAAGGTCGCTGGTTCTAATCCCCAGAGCCGACTAGGTGAAGAATCTGTCGATGTGCCCTTGAGCAAGGCACTTAACCCTAATTGCTCATGTAAGTCGCTCTGGATAAGAGCGTCTGCTTAATGACTAAAATGTAAATGTAAATGAGCAAGAAAAGGTTGAAGAGCCCTGGTTTATAAGGATATCCTAGACCTACACTGTGTTATAGCTGTAAGGACCTTAGCTTTACCTCACAAAATGTAGCCTACTTAATTGTGTTATAACTTCTCTTATCAGCTGTCACGAGTGTTGATGTTCTTTGGCTGAATCACTATCTGTGGGTCCACAATTTGTGCTTTCATCATTATGGTGTATTGGCGTTTTCTTTGCCAAGGAGTGAAGCACAACCTGACTGCCAACTTCCGAGGGCTCGATACTAGTTTGTACAGCAATAAAGGCTGCCGAAGCAGCACCTGTGAGGTGGTGGAGACCTTGAAGAACCTAACTGTGAGTGTTAACCAACTCACACACGCACACAGACACACCCATACATACACACACTGTGTCGCTCAAATATTCACATATCTAAGCTGCTTCTCCTCTGTTTTAGAGGACAGGTGAGGTGGGCTGTGCTCTGCTGGGGCCCACCTGCTCCCATGCAACCTTTCAGATGGTTGAGTAAGTGTTGTGTTGCCGTGACACCCTATCCCTTTCTATCCCTTTTACTTACCTCTATATATATCTCTCACTTGTATCCAACTCAATTACTTTTGCAGTTACATTCTAATAGCAGAGTAATTCATAAAAAAGTTTATCTCTACCACTCTCTCTCTCTGTGTGTGGGGGTGGCGAGAGAGTCGATGAGCCAGACTCGGGCGGCATCGAGCGCGAGAAGCGAGAGAGAGGCGAGAGGGAGAGGAGAGACGCGAGGAGAGCGAGAGAGTGGCGAGCGCGAGAGAGAGAGCATAGAGAGAGGCTAGAGAGAGAGAGAGAGATCTCTCTCTCTCTCTCTCTCTCTTCTCTCTCTCTCTCTCTCTCTCTCTCTCTCTCTCTCTCTCTCCTCTCTCTCTCCTCTCTCCTTCTATCTATCTATGTGCCAGTCTTGAGGTTGGTCTGGAGCTCAAAATGCCCATCATCTCAGCAGGCAGCTTTGCTCTGTCCTGTGACTACAAAGAATACCTGACTCGCATACTTCCCCCCGCACGCAAGATCTCCACCTTCTTCACAAAGTTTTGGGACTTCAAAAACGATATCAAACCCAAGTGGTACACAGCCTCCCTCTATAAGAAGCAGGAGAACACTGAGGACTGCTTCTGGTGAGTGAGTCACTTGTGAGTCGCTTGTGAGTCGCCTTTGAGTTGCTTTTGAGTCACAAGTGTCCTGACTTGTATGTGAATTCTTTAAGTGTAATATGATGGAAAAGGGTGACGGTGGATATGAATTAGACGTGATTCTGTATGCTAATCTAATGGACACTTAGATGACTTTGAGACTATTTATTTGTGTCTATTTTATTTGCTTAGATGTGATGTTGATACTGATGTCATGGTATCTACACTTCCCTCTCCAGGTATATCAATGCACTGGGTACAGCTTCAGCCCACTTTTCCTTACACATCAAAAAAACAAACGTTATAAGCAAAGCAGAGGATCTTAGAAAGGAATTAAGCTCCAAAAATAGGACAAGCAATTGTAAGTAAACCCACAACATGTAACACATCTGGAGGATTGACACATACTGTAGATAGGGCAGTGAATGGACACATACTGTAGATAGGGCAGTGAATTGACACATACTGTAGACAGGGCAGTGAATTGACACATACTGTAGACAGGGCAGTGAATTGACACATACGGTAGACAGGGCAGTGAATTGACACATACTGTAGACAGGGCAGTGAATTGACACATACTGTAGACAGGGCAGTGAATTGACACATACTGTACACAGGGCAGTGAATTGACACATACTGTAGACAGGGCAGTGAATTGACACATACTGTAGATATGGCAGTGAATTGACTCATACTGTAGACAGGGCAGTGAATTGACACATACTGTAGATATGGCAGTGAATTGACACATACTGTAGACAGGGCAGTGAATTGACACATACTGTAGACAGGGCAGTGAATTGACACATACTGTAGACAGGGCAGTGAATTGACACATACTGTAGACAGGGCAGTGAATTGACACATACTGTAGACAGGGCAGTGAATTGACACATACTGTAGACAGGGCAGTGAATTGACACATACTGTAGATATGCCAGTGAATTGACACATACTATAGACAGGGCAGTGAATTGACACATACTGTAGACAGGGCAGTGAATTGACACATACTGTAGATATGGCAGTGAATTGACACATACTGTAGACAGGGCAGTGAATTGACACATACTGTAGATATGGCAGTGAATTGACACATACTGTAGACAGGGCAGTGAATTGACACATACTGTAGATATGGCAGTGAATTGACACATACTGTAGACAGGGCAGTGAATTGACACATACTGTAGACAGGGTAGTGAATTGACACATACTGTACACAGGGCAGTGAATTGACACATACTGTAGACAGGGCAGTGAATTGACACATACTGTAGACAGGGCAGTGAATTGACACATACTGTAGACAGGGCAATGAATTGACACATACAGTGGGGAAAAAAAGTATTTAGTCAGCCACCAATTGTGCAAGTTCTCCCACTTAAAAAGATGAGAGAGGCCTGTAATTTTCATCATAGGTACACGTCAACTATGACAGACAAATTGAGAAAAAAGAATCCAGAAAATCACATTGTAGGATTTTTAATTAATTTAAAAAATAAGTATTTGGTCACCTACAAACAAGCAAGATTTCTGGCTCTCACAGACCTGTAACTTCTTCTTTAAGAGGCTCCTCTGTCCTCCACTCGTTACCTGTATTAATGGCACCTGTTTGAACTTGTTATCAGTATAAAAGACACGTGTCCACAACCTCAAACAGACACACTCCAAACTCCACTATGGCCAAGACCAAAGAGCTGTCAAAGGACACCAGAAACAAAATTGTAGACCTGCACCAGGCTGGGAAGACTGAATCTGCAATAGGTAAGCAGCTTGGTTTGAAGAAATCAACTGTGGGAGCAATTATTAGGAAATGGAAGACATACAAGACCACTGATAATCTCCCTCGATCTGGGGCTCCACGCAAGATCTCACCCCGTGGGGTCAAAATGATCACAAGAACGGTGAGCAAAAATCCCAGAACCACACGGGGGGACCTAGTGAATGACCTGCAGAGAGCTGGGACCAAAGTAACAAAGCCTACCATCAGTAACACACTACGCCGCCAGGGACTCAAATCCTGCAGTGCCAGACGTGTCCCCCTGCTTAAGCCAGTACATGTCCAGGCCCGTCTGAAGTTTGCTAGAGTGCATTTGGATGATCCAGAAGAGGATTGGGAGAATGTCATATGGTCAGATGAAACCAAAATATAACTTTTTGGTAAAAACTCAACTCGTCGTGTTTGGAGGACAAAGAATGCTGAGTTGCATCCAAAGAACACCATACCTACTGTGAAGCATGGGGGTGGAAACATCATGCTTTGCTTTTTTCCTCATTTTGTCTGTCATAGTTGACGTGTACCTATGATGAAAATTACAGGCCTCTCTCATCTTTTTAAGTGGGAGAACTTGCACAATTGGTGGCTGACTAAATACTTTTTTCCCCCACTGTACTGTAGACAGGGCAGTGAACAGATACCAACAGTCTCCATTTCTATTTCTTTCCCTCTCTCCTCTTCACTGTGTAGTGTTCATAGTGTGTGGGACACCAGAAGATATCGTGGACCTGAAGAATGGAACTATAGAGGCTGATCCGAGTGTTGTCTTCATCCTGATCAATCTTTACAAGTTAGTCCTCTCTCTCTGTCTCTGTGTCTCTGTGTCTCTGTGTCTCTCTCTCTCTCTCTCTCTCTCTCTCTCTCTCTCTCTCTCTCTCTCTCTCTCTCTCTCTATGTCTCTCTCTCTCTCTCTCTCTCTCTCTCTCTCTCTCTCTCTCTCTCTCTCTCTCTCTCTCTCTGTGTATCTGTGTCTCTCCCCCTCTCTCTCTAATTTTTTCCTCTGAAAGAGTTCAAAGAGGCTTAATATTGTAATCGCCGTGCTTCAGTGAGTGTTTGAGAGCACCAGTGTTTTCAGTGTCATTGACAATGAACCCATGACTCCACACAGTGATAAGTACTACACCAATAAGTCCTCTATCCCTGCTATGAAGAACGTGTTGGTTCTCACCATGCCCAACTCTAGGAACTATACTGTGGACACAGACCTGGGCAACAACGTGACGGTGAGACTCCCTGCTGGGTTGAGGCCCTGTCTATCACTGTACTCTGAGGTGTCCTATTCATCCTATTACCTATATTGTGTACTACTTTTGACCAGGGCCCAATAAATCTGCCTTCTGTCCAGATGAATGACTACATGGCAGCGTACCATGATGCAGTGCTGCTGTTTGGTCAGGTGATGAGGAAGCTCTGGAACAAGCCTAAGTCTGAGCTCAACCCCATGGAGGTAGTCAACATCAACCACTTCAGAAACGTCTCCTTCAACGGTAAGAGACCAAGAAACAACACATCAAGCTGTGTGGTCTGGCCTGGAGATGTGGCCACCTGTGTGTGTATGTGTGTGTGTGTGTGTGTGTGTATATGTGTGTGTTAGTGGTGTACTGGTCAGCTGTTTGTTCACCCACACCCGCCCACAATTGGTAATAACCAATCCGCAACCGCCCGATAAAGTGAACCTTAACCGTAACCCGCAAATATAGAAAATGTGTTGTAGGCCACAGTTAGAGACGGCAGAACAATTTTTTGACGGGGTGCTGTCACGATCGTCAAAGGAGGAGGACCAAGGCGCAGCGTGATGAACGAACATACTTTATTATCGATAGTGATAACAAGACCAAAACAATAAACGATAACGTGACGTCCTAGGTTAAACACAACCAACACGGAACAAACCAAAAGGAACAAGATCCCACAACAACTGTGGGAAAACAGCCTGTATAAATGTGGTTCCCAATCAGAGGCAACGAGTGTCAGCTGTTGCTGGTTGTCTCTGATTGGGAACCATATTTAAACAGTCTGTTTTCCCTCAGTGTTTGTGGGATCTTGTTCCGTGTTCCTAGTAGGTTGTGTTTGAGCTAAGGACGTCACGTTATCGTTTTGTTGTTTTGTTCGTGTTATCTTTCAGATATAATAAATATGTTTGCATTCAACGCTGCGCATTGGTCCTCTGTTCCCGACGAGCGTGACAGAAGATCCCACCTAAACTGGACCAAGCAGCGTGTCCAGGAGCCATCGCCAGGGGAATCGCTAGCGGATCTCCGTGGCAACCTCGACTGGGTCAAGCCTAGTGAAGAGCAGAGAGGGTGGACTTGGGAGCAGTGGAGGAAGAGTCTCGACTGGGTCAAGCCAAATGAAGAGCAGAGTGGCTGGAGTTGGAAGCAGAAGAGCGAGAGTTGGGCGAGAACTATAGAGGCCTGGCCCATGGGGAGGAGAGACCCCCAGAATTTTTTTAGGGGGGGGGCTCACGCCGTGGACGACGGGGCAGCAGGAGGCCGCGATGGAGCGGTCCAGCGGGTTTGCAGAGGAGGCCGCCAGGTTAAGGGGGCCACTGGTCACAGAGGAGAGGGAAAGTGTGGAGGCACGGCGAGAGGTACTGGGGTGTGTTACCAGTCCGGTCCGGCCCGTTCCTGATCCCTGCATAGGGCCAGTGGTGTGTGTCCCCAGTACGGTCCGGCCTGTTCCTGTTCCTCGCATCGAGCCTGTGGTGCGTGTCGTCAGCCCGGCCCGGCCTGTTCCTGCTCCCCGCACCGAGCCTATGGTGCGCGTCGCCAGCCCGGCCCGGCCTGTTCCTGCTCCCCGCACCAAGCCTATGGTGCGCGCCGCCAGCCCGGCCCGGCCTGTTCCTGCTCCCCGCACCGAGCCTATGGTGCGCGTCGCCAGCCCGGCCCGGCCTGTTCCTGCTCCCCGCACCAAGCCTATGGTGCGCGCCGCCAGCCCGGTCCGGCCTGTTCCTGCTTCCCGCACCAAGCCTATGGTGCGCGTCGCCAGCCCGGCCCGGCCTGTTCCTGCTCCCCGCACCGAGCCTATGGTGCGCGTCGCCAGCCCGGTCCGGCCTGTTCCTGCTCCCCGCACCAAGGCGATGGTGCGCGTCGCCAGTCCGGCCCGGTCTGTTCCTGCTCCCCGCACCAAGCCTATGGTGCGCGTCGCCAGCCCGGCCCGGCCTGTTCCTGCTCCCCGCACCGAGCCTATGGTGCGCGTCGCCAGCCCGGTCCAGCCTGTTCCTGCTCCCCGCACCAAGCCTATGGTGCGCGTCGCCAGCCCGGCCCGGCCTGTTCCTGCTCCCCGCACCGAGCCTATGGTGCGCGTCGCCAGCCCGGTCCGGCCTGTTCCTGCTCCCCGCACCAAGCCGATGGTGCGCGTCGCCAGTCCGGCCCGGTCTGTTCCTGCTCCCCGCACCAAGTCAGTGGTGCGCGTCGCCAGCCCGGCCCGGTCCATTCCTGCTCTCCGCACCAATTCAGTGGTGCGCTTCGTCAGCCCGGCTTGGCCTGTTCCTGCTCCCCACACCAAGCCAGTGGTGTGCTTCGTCAGTCCAGCACGGCCCGTGCCTGTTCCACCGGTGCCTGGTCCGGTACCGGTCAGCTGCTCCACGTCGGAGCTAGAGCAATCCGCTCCACCAGTGTTCAGTCCAGCTCCGGCCAGCAGGGCCAGACCGGACCAGGGGTACTGTGGGGGGTTAGAGAGGGAGTGGGGATCATGCCCAGAGCCGGATCCGCCGCCAAGGCGGAGTGCCCACCCGGTCCCTCCCCTGTGGTGTTCTGTTGGCGCGGTCGGAGTCCGCGCCTTTGGGGGGGGGTACTGTCACGCCCTGGCTCTAGGGACTCTTTTATGTTGAGCCAGGGTGTGTAGAGTCTATGTTTTGTGCTCTTTGTTTTCCATTCTAGGTCTTGTATTTCTATGTTGGCCAGAGTGGTTCCCAATCAGAGGCAACGAGTGTCAGCTGTTGCTGGTTGTCTCTGATTGGGAACCATATTTAAACAGTCTGTTTTCCCTCAGTGTTTGTGGGATCTTGTTCCGTGTTCCTAGTAGGTTGTGTTTGAGCTAAGGACGTCACGTTATCGTTTTGTTGTTTTGTTCGTGTTATCTTTCAGATATAATAAATATGTTTGCATTCAACGCTGCGCATTGGTCCTCTGTTCCCGACGAGCGTGACAGGTGCAGGATTTCTTTTGCCTAATTTATATATGTTTCTGCTTATAATTTCCGACGTTTTGGTAGGGTATTTGTTAGTCAACTTGTCTATAATTAGATACATGCAGCTTCTCTTCTGTCATTTTATGTTGCCCTAGAAGACTAAATAAACCCTGAATAATTGTAAATCGATAGAATAAATGCTTCAATCTAGTTCAAATCAAATGTTATTTGTCACATACACGTGTTTAGCAGATGTTATAGCGGGTGTAGCGAAATGCTTGTGCTTCTTGCTCCGACAGTGCAGTAATATCTAACAAGTAATATCTAACAATTTCACAACATATACCTAATACGCACAAAACTAGTAAGGAATGGAATTTAAGAAAAAATATATATATGGACAAGCAATGACAGAGCGGCATGGACTAAGATTATAGAATAGAATGCAGTATATACATATGAGATGAGTAGTGCAAGATATGTAAACATTATTAAAGTGACTGGTGTTCCATTTCTTAAAGTGGCCAGTGATTTCAATAGGCAGCAGTAGCCTCTAATGTGCTAGTGATGGCTATTTAACAGTCTGATGGCCTTGAGATAGAAGCTGTTTTTCATTCTCTCTGTCCCAGCTTTGATGCACCTGTACTGACCTCGCCTTCTGGATGATAGCGGGGTGAACAGGCAGTGGCTCGGGTGGTTGATGTCTTTGATTATCTTTTTGGACCTTCCTGTGACATTGGGTGCTGTATGTGTCTTGGAGGGCGGGTAGTTTGCCCCCAATAATGCGTTCGGCAGACCGCACCACCCTCTGGAGAGCCCTGCGGTGGCGGGCGGTGCAGTTGCCGTACCAGGTGGTGATACAGCCCGACAGGATACTCTCAAGTGTGCATCTTTAAAAGTTTGTGAGGGTTTTAGGTGCCAAGCCAAATGTCTTCAGCCTCCTGAGGTTGAAGAGGCTCTGTTGTGCCTTCTTCACCACACTGTCTGCGTGGGTGGACCATTTCAGTTTGTCGGTGATGTGTACGCCAAGGAACTTGAAGCTTTCCACCTTCTCCACTGCGGTCCCGTCGATGTGGATAGGGGGGTGCACCCTCTGCTGTTTCCTGAAGTCCACGATCATCTCCTTTGTTTTGTTGACGTTGAGTGAGAGGTTATTTTCCTGGCACCACACTCCCAGAGCCCTCACCTCCTCCCTGTAGGCGGTCTCATCATTGTTGGTAATCAAGCCTACTACTGTTGTGTCGTCTGCAAACTTGATGATTGAGTTGGAGGCGTGCTTGGCCACGCAGTCATGGGTGAACAGGGAGTACAGGAGGGGGCTGAGCATGCACCCTTGTGGGGCCCCAGTGTTGAGGATCAGCGAAGTGGAGATGTTGTTTCCTACCTTCACCACCTGGGGGCGGCACGTCAGGAAGTCCAGGACCCAGTTGCACAGGGCGGGGTTCAGACCCAGGGCCTCGAGCTTGATGATGAGCTTGGAGGGTACTATGGTGTTGAATGCTGAGCTATAGTCAATGAACAGCATTCTTACCGAGGTAACATTTTCTCTGTGATCTCTGCTTATTTTGCAGAGCAAAGAAGAGTTAGTGTTGATAACTGGAGTTCATTGGGACGGAGTACTTTTAACTCCATTAAGAGTAACCAGAGACAGGGAGTTAAATCTATCAAGTTATCCACAGATCTGGGAGGGGCCTCATTGTCATATTTCCCAGCATGCTCTGTTGCAGGTTGATTAAAAAAAAAAAGTTTCAATATCTGTGTTTTGCACATTGATTGCTTTTGATCTTATGCTACAGAAAGATAAGAAATGTAAATCTGCAAGTGGTTGGATTTCTAGCAACCGTTAGTGAGATAGTTGTTCCAGTTTACATGGTGTAGGTAGTCTCCATCTTGTGTACTTTTGGCCCTACTCTGACAGTTGTGAGTGATGCAAAAGTGCTGGCCATCTTCCTGCAAGTTGGCTTCCAACGTACTGTAGGTTGGATATCACATTTCCAACCACCATAAGGTGATACATTAAGAAATATTCAAATAAGGCTTTAGACCCTTATAACTCAAAGGAAGTAAACTGAAAGATAAATGTACTCTGTAGTTGAATGTTAATTAAAAAACACAGACAAAGTGTAAAATGGCAAGGGAGTTGATTAAAAACGACACTGAAAATAGTAAATTGGCAAATTGATTATTTTTTGTTTTTTGGTCTTAATTTAAGGTTAGGGTTAGGTATAAGGTTAGCAGTGTGGTTAGGGTTAAGGTTAGGGTTAGGTTTAAAATCACATTTTAAGAACAGAAATTGTAGAAATGGGCGGGGTTTAGGACTTTGTGGCTGTGGTAACTAGTGACGACCCCATTTCAGTTTATCAATTGTAGGAAAAAGCTGTTTCAGGTGTTTGAAAAATGCAGAATTCTCCACCCCCCAGACATCCTCACGTACCCTCAGATTTTTGGGGTGCATGACGCCCCTGTCTATGTGTGTGTTTGTGTGTGTGTGTGTGTGTGTGTGCGTGTGTGTGTGTGTGTGTGTAGTTATGTAGTTCTGTGTAGTGTAAATTGTGTATGTGTTTCCATGCAGGCATTGCAGGCCACTACAAGCTGGATGACTATGGGGACAGAGACGTGAATTTTTCAGTCATTTACACCACCACTGACAACAAGGTAGGTCAGCTATCATGTATATCATATGATTCTATTGTGTCAAAGTTAATGTTCTAACTCCTGTCTCCTCCGCAGTATGAAACTTTATTTATATTCAACACTGCCTACAACTACACCAAGGTCGTCAACAGTAACCCATCCTTCATCTGGGGCAGATGCCTCCCAGATGACACTCCATCCCAGTGTACGTGCTCAACACACACACACACACACACACACACACACACACACACGACTCAACTTGTGCATCTGAGTCTGGCTTGTTTTTCCCTAATACATGAGCCACACCCATCGTGACTGGCTTAGTTGAAAGCATTAACTGATCATCAGCTTGTCATTCTTAATAGATAAGACAGAAATGGGACAATCCGGTGCCGAACTGGTGTTGAGGGATCAAACTCCAGCTTCAATGTACAGTACAGTTTTTTACAATCACTTTGGCACTAATTTCAGAACCTTGACGTCATTTTTCAAAACTCTAGACACAAAACTCACAACCAATGATCACAATGCACATTTTTCAAAACTCTAACACTTTTTTCAATTGCTTGGATACAATACACATTAAACTAAGATCATTTGTTCATTTAACAAAAGTCACCTGTTCAATATGACACAACTTAACATCAAAGTACTACTATTTCAAAAGGCAATTCACACATTACATTTCAGATGAGTGTCTATTCATTTCATTACAATTATCCAACTATCAATTGATACAACTGCTCAAAATGATAAGTAACTGTTGCATTGCTCTTAATGCATAGTTGTATGGAAACAGACAAACAATATTCCATGTTTAGATCATGAAAGTTTCAAAGTAACGAGATTCATTGTCACCAATTAGCGTGGAGCATGAACCAATTAGACTACGTTATCTATGGATGTAATATTTCATCATCATTCTTTATCAGACACCATTTCTATGGTCCCCTTGTAAACTTCCTTGATGAGCTCGATCAGGCCTGTAGAGCTGGTGGCGTGACCTATGTCATTGTGTGGGATAATGTCAGGTTCCACCATGCTCATATGGTGCAAGCATGGTTTCAGGCCCATGCACAATTTACCACCCTGTATTTACCCCCATACTCTCCTTTCCTTAACCCGATTGAGGAATTTTTCTCCACATGGAGATGGAAGGTTTATGATAGGCGCCCTCATGAACAAGTCACTCTTCTCCAGGCCATGGATGACGCATGCAATGACATCACGGCAGACCAGTGTCAGGCCTGGATTCGCCATGGCCAAAGGTTTTTTCCAAGATGTTTGGCTAATGAAAACATCCATTGTGATGTAGATGAGAACCTGTGGCCAAAACCACAAGACAGAGTTGATGAAAATGTAGAAGTACAGTAATCACTCCTATGTTTTGCTTTTTACAGTACAGGCAAGCAAGTTGAGGAACACTGCATTTGATGTTTTACAGTACTGTAATGTTTTTCATCAATATATTTCAGATTTTGTTAAATGATTCCACTGTGTCTGTAGTATTCTCTCTACTACTATAGTACTTTTACAGGGATGTATTTACATGTAGTACCATAAAGAAACATGTATCACCTATTTTGTACTACAATATTTAATGATCGTACGAACAATGACACAGTGAAACTATCGGTTGCTTGTGTGTGGGTGATCTAAATTAACGTTTCATTGGTATTTCACAATAAATTAGTTTTTTGAACCAATGATTGTGCAAGTACAAGATTTATTTAAAGATATGAATGCACAATGCAATGTTTTGAACATTGGACAGCCTGTGTTACAAGTGATGACCGTTTTGAGTTTTGTGTCTAGAGTTTTGAAAAATGACGTCAAGGTTCTGAAATTAGTGCCAAAGTGATTGTAAAAAACTGTAATACAAACTCAATTACCCCCTGGCCTGAACACTCATTGAGACGCTTTACAGTCTTTTTTATTGGTCTGCTCATCGCATCGAATACGTAGTAATGCCCGAGCGACACAGTGTGTATGTGTATGTGTGCCTAGGTCTAACTAGTGCGGTGTGCCCCCCCCCCCCAGGTTTGAAGGACCATGACATCCTTGTCATTGTCTTAGGTGTCACTGTGGTGGGGGTGGCTACCATTGCTTTCATCTTCTACAGGTAAGAGTTAGATAACAGATAGCAGCGGAGTGTGAGAGAGGTCTCACTCATAGAAATATAATTACTAGAACAGGGATCTGGGGTTCAAACCATCACAGATAATTTACTTGAATGGGGGATCTCCATTCTAGTAATTATATTTATATGAGGGAGACCTCTCACACTGTGCTGCTATTTGTTACCAGGCAGAACCACAGAGAGCGACGGCTGAGGAAGAGATGGTCTCACATCCACTCTGACCTCATCACCCCGCTGGAGTACAATGAACGCAGCCTGGTCTCCCTCAAGGTCAGCTTGTCATCAGTGTGCGACGACCCCTGAAAGTTAAGTCACATTTTCCAGTACGTCTTCTAACCCCTTTCTCTGTCTGTTTGTTTGTCAGATTGACGAAGACCACAGGAAAAACACAAGTTATAACATCCGCCAAGGACACTATGATAAAAAGGTAACTCAAACTTTTGCATAAAACCACCAGAGCCATATATATACTGTATATATATATATATATATATATATATATATATATATATATATATATATATATATATATATATATATATATATATAAATATACACTACCATTCAAAAGTTTGGGGTCACTTAGTAATGTCCTTGATTCCATGAAAACATACATGAAATTAGTTTGAATAGGAAATATACCAAAATGAATCGGAAATGTAGTCATTGACAAGGTTAGAAATAATGATTTTTAATTGAAATAATAATTGTGTCCTTCAAACTTTGCTTTCGTCAAAGAATCCTCCATTTGCAGCAATTACAGCCTTGCAGACCTTTGGCATTCCAGTTGTCAATTTGTTGAGGTAATCTGCAGTTGGATTGGCTTGATGGGCACTTCTTACTTACCATACGGTCAAGCTGCTCCCACAAAAGCTTAATAGGGTTGCGATCCAGTGACTGTGCTGGCCACTCCATTATAGACAGAATACCAGCTGACTGCTTCTTCCCTAAATAGTTATTGCATAGTTTGGAGCTGTGCTTTGGGTCATTGTCCTGTTGTAGGAGGAAATTGGCTCCAATCAAGCGCCGTCCACAGGGTATGGCATGGCGTTGCAAAATGGAGTGATAGCCTTCCTTCTTCAAGATCCCTTTTACCCTGTACAAATCTCCCCCTTTACCACCACCAAAGCACCCCTAGACCATCACATTGCCTCCACCATGCTTGACAGATGGCATCAAGCACTCCTCCAGTATCTTTGCATTTGGTCTGCGTCTCACAAATGTTCTTCTTTGGGACCCGGACACCTCAAACTTCGATTTGTCTGTCCATAACACTTTTTTCCAATCTTCCTCTGTCCAGTGTCTGTGTTCTTTTGCCCATCTTAATCTTTTCTTTTTATTGGCCAGTCTGAGATATGGCTTTTTCTTTGCAACTCTGCCTAGAAGGTAAGCATCCCGGAGTCGCCTCTTCACTGTTGACGTTGAGACTGGTGTTATGCTGGTACTATTTAATGAAGCTGCCAGTTGAGGACCTGTGAGGCGTCTGTTTCTCAAACTAGACACTCTAATGTATTTGTCCCCTTGCTCAGTTGTGCACCGGGGCCTCCTACTCCTCTTTCTATTCTGGTTAGAGCCAGTTTGCGCTGTTCTGTGAAGGGAGAAGTACACAGCGTTGTACTTCAGTTTCTTGGCAATTTCTCGCATGGAATAGCCTTCATTTCTCAGAACAAGAATAGACTGATGAGTTTCAGAAGAAAGTTCTTTGTTTCTGGCCATTTTGAGCCTGTAATCGAACCCACAATTGCTGATGCTCCAGATACTCAACTAGTCTCAAGAAGGCCAGTTTTATTGCTTCTTTAATCAGCGCAACCGTTTTCAGTTGTGCTAACATAATTGCAAAATGGTTTTCTAATGATCAATTAGCCTTTTAAAATGATAAACTTGGATTAGCAAACACAAAGTACACAGGACTGATGGTTGCTGATAATGGGCCTCTGTACGCCTTTGTAGATATTCCATTAAGAAGCAGCCGTTTCCAGCTACAATAGCCATTTACAACATTAACAATGTCTACACTGTATTTCTGATCAATTTGATGTTATTTTAATGGACAAAAAAATGGCTTTTCTTTCTAAAACAAGGACATTTCTAAGTGACCCCAAACTTTTGAACGGTAGTGTATGTAGGTTACAGGAACAACCACGGCTCAGGGACTGATACATTGGTCTGGTTAGGTGTATTGTAGTCTCATGTTGCCAAACTCCGTAAACTCGTCAAGTCCTTCACTTTGACACTTGAAGCAGGATCTTGAGGGAGCTGGATATGGAAGTCAGGTGTTCTGAGGCTACTGCTGTTGTCATGGTGATCGAGGGCAGGTGTACTGAGGCTACTGCTGTTGTAAAGGTGATGGACATCAGGTGTACTGAGGCTACTGCGGTTGTCATGGTGATGGAGGTCAGGTGTACTGAGGCTACTGCTGTTGTAATGGTGATGGACATCAGGTGTACTGAGGCTACTGCGGTTGTCATGGTGATGGAGGTCAGGTGTACTGAGGCTACTGCTGTTGTCATGGTGATGGAGGTCAGGTGTACTGTGGCTACTGTTGTTGTCATGGTGATGGAGGTCAGGTGTACTGAGGCTACTGCTGTTGTCATGGTGATGGAGATCAGGTGTACTGAGGCTACTGCTGTTGTCATGGTGATGGAGATCAGGTGTACTGAGGCTACTGCGGTTGTCATGGTGATGGAGGTCAGGTGTACTGTGGCTACTGCTGTTGTCATGGTGATGGAGGTCAGGTGTACTGAGGCTACTGCTGTTGTCATGGTGATGGAGGTCAGGTGTACTGAGGCTACTGCTGTTGTCATGTGATGAAGGTCAGTGTACTGAGGCTACTGCTGTTGACATGGTGATGGAGGTCAGGTGTACTGAGGCTACTGCTGTTGTCATGGTGATGGAGGTCAGGTGTACTGAGGCTACTGCTGTTGTCATGGTGATGGAGGTCAGGTGTACTGAGGCTACTTCTGTTGTCATGGTGATGGACATCAGGTGTACTGAGGCTACTGCTGTTGTCATGGTGATGGAGGTCAGGTGTACTGAGGCTACTGCTGTTGTCATGGTGATGGAGGTCAGGTGTACTGTGGCTACTGTTGTTGTCATGGTGATGGGGGTCAGGTGTACTGAGATTACTGCTGTTGTCATGGTGATGGAGATCAGGTGTACTGAGGCTACTGCTGTTGTCATGGTGATGGAGGTCAGGTGTACTGAGGCTACTGTTGTTGTCATGGTGATGGAGGTCAGGTGTACTGAGGCTGCTGTTGTTGTCATGATGATGGAGGTCAGGTGTACTGTGGCTACTGTTGTTGTCATGGTGATGGAAGTCAGGTGTACTGAGGCTACTGTTGTTGTCATGGTTTCAGATTGTGATCCTGAAGGAGCTGAAGCACTCGGATGGGAACTTTAACGAGAGTCAGAGGATAGAACTCAACTCGGTGAGTCACCGATTACACAGCAAGTCTGTTAACGTACAGTAGGCTACTCAAGGGTATCAAGTATGCATTTCTACGTGTGTTCATGTGGTATCTTTGTTTATTTTATTTTATTTTATTTTATTTTATATTTGATTTGATTATAACTCCTATTGCTTATTATACCCATCCTTCCTGATTTACAGCTTCTGCATATTGACTACTACAACCTGACTAAGTTCTATGGCACAGTCAAGTATGATCATGGTGTGTTTGGGGTGTTCGAGTACGGCGAGAGGGGATCCCTAAGGGTGAGAAACACACACACAAGCGGCCACATGCACGCGTGCACACACACACACTTTGACCTTTGACCCTCTTCCTTCCTCAGTATGTGCTGAATGACAAGATCTCGTACCCGGAGGAGACCTTCATGGACTGGGAGTTTAAGATCTCTGTCATGTACGACATCGCTAAGGTGACCTGGCAACAACTCTAGTCTGCTGTTAGTTTGTATGAGCTCAGAAGATGTCAACTCAAGATGACCCCTGACCCCAAGTTGGAACCTTAGACAATAATTTTGATCTAGTCAATATTGATATACATTTCTGAAAGTGCTTCGATCCGTTTGGGAACGCTGAGTCATTGAAATACTGTAAGTTCAAAGACAAAACCTCCTTTCTTCCTCTCCACAGGGTATGTCCTACCTCCACTCCAGTGACATCCAGGTCCACGGCCGTCTCAAGTCCACTAACTGTGTGGTGGACAACCGCATGGTGGTCAAGATCACTGACTTTGGCTGCAACACCATCCTAGACCCAGGCAGAGGTAGGAACTATTTATTCTGTAGGGATAGCTTGCTAGCATAGTTAGCGTTCATGCCATACACATCCCCTGAGGTCTGTCTGTCCTAGGACTGTTTCTTTCTGTCTTATCCCTTATTTTTGAGCTATTTTCTTTTACCTATCCTCCCCTATCCCGAATCCCCTCACTCCATCACTCTATTCTCCATCCTTTCCCTCCCTCCTCTCCTCCCCCTCTCTCCTTTTATCTGGCCCTCTCTCTCCATCAGACCTGTGGACAGCTCCAGAGCACCTGCGTAGACAGGGGATCTCCCAGAAGGGGGATGTCTACAGCTTTGCCATCATCGCCCAGGAGATAGTTCTCAGGAGGAGCACCTTTTACACCGAGGCCTGCTCCGACGGTGCAGGTTAGACACATTCCTATATAACACCTTATATAGAAACTTGCAACCAAATCAATGCATCAGTTCCGCTATACTGTAATCACCCTTGTTTAGAATTTGGCACTTTGATGTGGTGCTGCATTTCATTCTGGGGAATTATCGACCCCTCCTGGCCAAATGTAGCATTGTTCAGTTGAGCGCCACATAGTGTAGCAGAAAAACAAGACGCTCACATGTTGTTCTGTCTTCATCAGAGAAAATGGCCAGAGTGCAGTACCCCAGCGAAACCTATTTCAGACCTGATCTGAATGTTGAGACTGCAGGAGAAAAAGAATTGGAGGTAAGATTGGCATTTGTTTGTTTGTGTGTTTGTCTGTGTGTCTATCATAGAGAGAGGGAGAGAGAGAGGGTTGAGAGAGAGAGAGATGAGAGGAGACAGAGAGAGAGAGAGCGAGAGAGGAGAGAAGACAGACAAACAGACAGAGAGAGAGAGAGAGAAAGGGGGGAGGAACAGATTTACAGTATGGAGAAAGATATGTATAGAGATAGAGTCTGAAATCCACTTGTGTTTTTTCCTCCATGCCCACAGGTGTACATGCTGATGAAGATGTGCTGGGATGAGACCCCAGAGCGAAGGCCTGACTTTAAGAAGATGGAGAGCTCACTGGGGAAGATCTTCAGGTACCAGCTACCTACTTTTATCTCTCTTTTATTGGATAGAGCTAAACACTTGCCAGGCCATTTGATCAGAAAGGTGAAGAATCACTGTACAAAGATGGTAAAATATCTCTGTAACATGATAAATGGTCAAAATGGAGTTGTAGAGATATGAGTGAGAGGGAGCATGGTTATGGTTTGCAGTGCTTCATTAATATTTAATTACTGTAGAGCTGCACCATTCCCTTCATTTAAGAGACATTTGAGAAACACCTCACAAGGGCAACACCTACATTGAAAAGTGGTGTGTGTGTGTGTGCGCATGTGTGCGTGTGCGTGTGTGTGTGTGTATGTGTGACTGATCCTTTCTCCTGTTCTCCACAGTAACCTGCACAACCAGGCTAATGAGAGTTACATGGACAACCTGATCCGTCGTCTACAGATGTACTCCAGGAACCTGGAGCACCTGGTGGAGGAGAGGACAGCGCTGTACAAGGCTGAGAGAGACAGGGCCGACTGCCTCAACTTCATGCTGCTGCCTGGGTCAGTCAACAACAACAACAACAATTAACAGATATCCACACACAGTTCAATGCTCCTGTTGTTTTATTAAGTGCAATGTTTTGACCAGAAGGTCTTTGCCAGACTGCACAACCAGAAAACCACTTTAAGACCAGCAAATTACTTCTCTCCATCTCTCTCGCTCCAGTCCTGTGGTGCGTTCTCTGAAGGAGACGGGCAGTGTGGAGCCGGAGCTGTTTGAGGAGGTGACGGTGTACTTCAGCGACATCGTGGGCTTCACCACCCTGTGCCAGTACAGCACCCCTATGGAAGTGGTGGACATGCTCAACGACATCTACAAGGGCTTCGACAGCATCCTCGATCACCACGACGTATACAAGGTTAGGTTAGGGATAGGGTTAGTGTTGTGGTTTAGGGTTAGGGTTGTGGTTTAGGGTTAGTGTTGTGGTTTAGGGTTAGGGTTGTGGTTGAGGGTTAGGGTTGTGGTTGAGGGTTAGGGTTGTGGTTTAGGTTAGGGTTGAGGCTAGGGTTTTGGTTGTGGTTGAAGCTAAGGTTGAGGCTAGGGTTAGGGTTGTGGTTGAGGTTAGGGTTGTGGTTGAGGTTAGGGTTGTGGTTGAGGCTAGGGTTAGGGTTGTGGTCCAATCTAATCTTCCTTTTTGTCCTGTGTCAGGTGGAGACGATAGGTGATGCGTACATGGTGGCGTCAGGGTTGCCGCGGCGGAACGGTAACAGGCACGCGGTGGACATCTCCCGCATGGCCCTGGACATTCTGGCATTTATGGGGACCTTCCAGCTCAGACACCTGCCGGGGCTACCTGTGTGGATCCGCATTGGGATGCACTCAGGTACCCCTAGTCCCTCAAGTCCCTATCCTGAATTCATGAAACCTCCCATCTTTCTCCTCTCTATATCATCAATGCAAGCCTCCTTGGTCTCTGCGCTTTCCTTCTCCCTCCTTCCTGTAACTTCCCTCACTCTCTCCCTCTGTCTGTCATCAATAACCCCCTTATGCTTGCTACTTGTTCCCTAGGCCCCTGTGCAGCAGGAGTGGTGGGGATAAAGATGCCCAGATACTGCCTGTTTGGAGACACAGTCAACACTGCCTCTAGCATGGAGTCAACAGGACATCGTAAGCAGGCTACAGGAACACTAGAGATATCCATACCAACTCCATACAAACATGTCATATCAGCTGTCATGGCAGATGAGTAAAATACAACTCTGTCTCTCTCCATCCAGCCTTGAGAATCCACATCAGTCAGCCCACCATCAGCATCCTACAGAGGACAGACTGCAAGTTTGAGTACGAGAAGAGAGGGGAGACTTTCCTCAAGGTATGGACATGGCACATGCTGCTTTGCCGTTTGTCATGATAGAATCATACAGATTTTTTTGCTGTCATTTGTACTGTGTAGTTATCTTATCTACTGAGTTGAATATCATGTAAGAGTGTGTGTGTGTGTATCCCAGGGTAAAGGCACAGAGTTGACCTACTGGTTGACAGGTGAAACAGGAGAGGACTACAACCTGCCAACGCCCCCGACAGCGTGAGTTAACCTCCTGCTAATGTACGTGCTCCCCTATAACTGTACATCACTAGAGGTACACGTCATATTTACATCTATATTATTAACTTCTACCTTCTATGTCCTTCTTCCATTTTGTAGGATAAACAGAGATCATTAGAGCTACATATCTATGTAGATCTATATACTGTAATTAACTCCTATGTCCTTGTCCCTCCCTGCAGGGAGAACTGCCAGCGTCTGCAGCAGGATCTGGCCCAGATGATCCAGAAGTGTCTGGACAACCGTTCGCTGGGGTCAGAGGTCATGGAGAAGAGGAACACCCTGTCCATGAGGCAGAGGAGGGTGGGGAGGGATGGAGGGACGGAGGGGAGAGAGGAGGGTGGGGAGGGACGGAGGGGGGAGAGGAGGGTGGGGAGGGACGGAGGGACGGAGGGGAGAGAGGAGGTTGGGGAGGGATGGAGGGGGGTGGGGAGGGACGGAGAGGAGCAGGGGGGAGAGGAGGAGGATGGCGATGACCAGCCGGAGTACCTCCATCTGGCTACCGTTGACAACTTCACTACTTTCTTGTAGTTATTTTGATCAGGAGAAATACGGTTATTATTCAAATGTATTTTACTTTAGTTTTCACACAATCTATTTATCTATCTATCTACATACATTCATACATATTCCCTTTAACGGACTGCAATATATGTAGACCATTATTGATAATTTTTTACTCTGATAAATAAAAACAAGATATCATTTCTCATTTAAGAACAAATGACATTGAAACTTTATTTCTTTATGTGGTTATATTTACAGTTGTTGGAATCATTCCTGTACAGCATGTTACCAATGTAGTTGATGGGATTGAAAACATTTATCATGTTTCATTGAACCTGTAATAGTTCACTGAGGCATTACAATTCCTATACGTCACGGATGTCTGAGATGTTATGGGTGTATCTGAGTACATTGATGCTTTAGTTGAAGGGAGTAGGAAGGAAGCTCTCACTCGCGCTGATATTCTACAGTGAATTATAAATGACAATGCACAATTGTCTGAGATATATATATATATATATATTACACACACACACACACACAGTGTCTTGCGAAAGTATTCACCCCCCTTGGCATTTTTCCTATTTTGTTGCCTTACAACCTGGAATTAAAATTGATTTTGGGGGGGATTTGTATCATTTGATTTACACAACATGCCTACCACTTTGAAGATGCAAAATATATTTTTTTGTGAAACAAACAAGAAATAAGACAAAAAAAACAGAAAACTTGAGCTGCAAGTCTCTTGGGGTATGTCTCTATAAGCTTGGCACATCTAGCCACTGGGATTTTTGCCCATTCCTCAAGGCAAAACTGCTCCAGCTCCTTCAAGTTGGATGGGTTCCGCTGGTGTACAGCAATCTTTAAGTCATACCACAGATTCTCAATTGGATTGAGGTCTGGGCTTTGACTAGGCCATTCCAAGACATTTAAATGTTTCCCCTTAAACCACTCAAGTGTTGCTTTAGCAGTATGCTTAGGGTCATTGTCCTGCTGGAAGGTTTCCCAGTCCCTGCCGATGAAAAACATCCCCACTCCCTGCCGATGAAAAACATCCCCACAGCATGATGCTGCCACCACAATGCTTCACTGTTGGATGGTGTTGCTCTACCTGTAGCTCAGTTGGTAGAGCATGGCGCTTGCAACGCCAGGGTTGTGGGTTCGTTTCCCAGGGGGGGCCAGTATGAAAATGTATGCACTCAATAACTGTAAGTCGCTCTGGATAAGAGCGTCTGCTAAATGACTAAAATGTAATGTAATGTAAAATGTGTTCTCGGGGTGATGAGAGGTGTTGGGTTTGCGCCAGACATAGCGTTTTCCTTGATGGCCAAAAAGCTCAATTTGTCTCATCTAACCAGAGTACCTTCTTCCATATGTTTGGGGAGTCTCCCACATGGCTTTTGGCGAACACCAAACGTGTTTGCTTATTTTTTTCTTTAAGCAATGACTTTTCTTGCCACTCTTCCGTAAAGCCCAGCTCTGTGGAGTGTACGGCTTAAAGTGGTCCTATGGACAGATACGCCAATCTCCGCTGTGGAGCTTTGCAGCTCCTTCAGGGTTATCTTTGGTCTCTTTGTTGCCTCTCTGATTAATGCCCTCCTTGCCTGGTCCGTGAGTTTTGGTGGGCGGCCCTCTCTTGGCATGTTTGTTGTGGTGCCATATTCTTTCAATTTTTTTATAATGGATTTAATGGTGCTCCGTGGGATGTTCAAAGTTTCTGATATTTTTTTTATAACCCAACCCTGATCTGTACTTCTCCACAACTTTGTCCCTGACCTGTTTGGAGAGCTCTTTGGTCTTCATGGTGCCGCTTGCTTGGTGGTGCCCCTTGCTTAGTGGTGTTGCAGACTCTGGGGCCTTTCAGAACAGGTGTATATATACACTGAGATCATGTGACAGATCATGTGACACTTAGATTGCACACAGGTGGACTTAATTTTACTAATTATGTGACTTCTGAAGATAATTGGTTGCACCAGATCTTATTTAGGGGCTTCATAGCAAAGGGGGTGAATACATATGCATGCACCACTTTTCCGTTAGTTATTTTTTAGATTTTTTTTTTAATAAGTAATTTTTTTCATTTCACTTCACCAATTTGGACTATTTTGTGTATGTCCATTACATGAAATCCAAATAAAAATCCATTTAAATTACAGGTTGTAATGCAACAAAATAGGAAAAACACCAAGGGGATGAATACTTTTGCAAGGCACTGTGTGTATATATATATACATACAGTGGGGAGAACAAGTATTTGATACACTGCCGATTTTGCAGGTTTTCCTACTTACAAAGCATGTAGAGGTCTGTAATTTTTATCATAGGTACACTTCAACTGTGAGAGACGGAATCTAAAACAAAAATCCAGAAAATCACATTGTATGATTTTTAAGTAATTCATTTGCATTTTATTGCATGACATAAGTATTTGATACATCAGAAAAGCTGAACTTAATATTTGGTACAGAAACCTTTGTTTGCAATTACAGAGATCATACGTTTCCTGTAGGTCTTGACCAGGTTTTCACACACTACAGCAGGGATTTTGGCCCACTCCTCCATACAGACCTTCTCCAGATCCTTCAGGTTTCGTGGCTGTCGCTGGGCAATACAGACTTTCAGCTCCCTCCAAAGATTTTCTATTGGGTTCAGGTCTGGAGACTGGCTAGGCCACTCCAGGACCTTGAGATGCTTCTTACGGAGCCACTCCTTAGTTGCCCTGGCTGTGTGTTTCGGGTCGTTGTCATGCTGGAAGACCCAGCCACGACCCATCTTCAATGCTCTTACTGAGGGAAGGAGGTTGTTGGCCAAGATCTCACGATACATGGCCCCATCCATCCTCCCCTCAATACGGTGCAGTCGTCCTGTCCCCTTTGCAGAAAAGCATCCCCAAAGAATGATGTTTCCACCTCCATGCTTCACGGTTGGGATGGTGTTCTTGGGGTTGTACTCATCCTTCTTCTTCCTCCAAACACGGCGAGTGGAGTTTAGACCAAAAAGCTATATTTTTGTCTCATCAGACCACATGACCTTCTCCCATTCCTCCTATGGATCATCCAGATGGTCATTGGCAAACTTCAGACGGGCCTGGACATGCACTGGCTTGAGCAGGGGGACACGCTGCAGGATTTTAATCAATGACGGCGTAGTGTGTTACTAATGGTTTTCTTTGAGACTGCGGTCCCAGCTCTCTTCAGGTCATTGACCAGGTCCTGCCGTGTAGTTCTGGGCTGATCCCTCACCTTCCTCATGATCATTGATGCCCCACGAGGTGAGATCTTGCATGGAGCCCCAGACCGAGGGTGATTGACCGTCATCTTGAACTTCTTCCATTTTCTAATAATTGCGCCAACAGTTGTTGCCTTCTCACCTCGTGCTTGCCTATTGTCCGGTAGCCCATCCCAGCCTTGTGCAGGTCTACAATTGTATCCCTGATGTCCTTACACAGCTCTCTGGTCTTGGCCATTGTGGAGAGGTTGGAGTCTGTTTGATTGAGTGTGTGGACAGGTGTCTTTTATACAGGTAACGAGTTCAAACAGGTGCAGTTAATACAGGTAATGAGTGGAGAACAGGAGGGCTTCTTAAATAAAAACTAACAGGTCTGTGAGAGCCGGAATTCTTACTGGTTGGTAGGTGATCAAATACTTACAGTGAGGGAAACATTTATTTGATCCCCTGCTGATTTTGTACGTTTGCCCACTGACAAAGACATGATCAGTCTATAATTTTAATGGTAGGTTTATTTGAACAGTGAGAGACAGAATAACAACAACAAAATCCAGAAAAATGCATGTCAAAAATGTTATAAATTGATTTGCATTTTAATGAGGGAAATAAGTATTTGACCCCTTCGCAAAACATGACTTAGTACTTGGTGGCAAAACCCTTGTTGGCAATCACAGAGGTCAGACGTTTCTTGTAGTTGGCCACCAGGTTTGCACACATCTCAGGAGGGATTTTGTCCCACTCCTCTTTGCAGAACTTCTCCAAGTCATTAAGGTTTCGAGGCTGACGTTTGGCAACTCAAACCTTCAGCTCCCTCCACAGATTTTCTATGGGATTAAGGTCTGGAGACTGGCTAGGCCACTCCAGGACCTTAATGTGCTTCTTCTTGAGCCACTCCTTTGTTGCCTTGGCCGTGTGTTTTGGGTCATTGTCATGCTGGAATACCCATCCACGACTCATTTTCAATGCCCTGGCTGAGGGAAGGAGGTTCTCACCCAAGATTTGACGGTACATGGCCCCGTCCATCGTCCCTTTGATGCGGTGAAGTTGTCCTGTCCCCTTAGCATAAAAACACCCCCAAAGCATAATGTTTCCACCTCCATGTTTGACGGTGGGGATGGTGTTGTTGGGGTCATAGGCAGCATTCCTCCTCCTCCAAACACAGCAAGTTGAGTTGATGCCAAAGAGCTCGATTTTGGTCTCATCTGACCACAACACTTTCACCCAGTTCTCCTCTGAATCATTCAGATGTTCATTGGCAAACTTCAGACGGGCCTGTATATGTGCTTTCTTGAGCAGGGGGACCTTGCGGGCGCTGCAGGATTTCAGTCCTTCACGGCGTAGTGTGTTACCAATTGTTTTCTTGGTGACTATGGTCCCAGCTGCCTTGAGATCATTGACAAGATCCTCCCGTGTAGTTCTGGGCTGATTCCTCACCGTTCTCATGATCATTGCAACTCCACGAGGTGAGATCTTGCATGGAGCCCCAGGCCGAGGGAGGTTGACAGTTATTTTGTGTTTCTTCCATTTGCGAATAATCGCACCAACTGTTGCCACCTTCTCACCAAGCTGCTTGGCTATGGTCTTGTAGCCCATTCCAGCCTTGTGTAGGTCTACAATCTTGTCCCTGACATCCTTGGAGAGCTCTTTGGTCTTGGCCATGGTGGAGAGTTTGGAATCTGATTGACTGATTGCTTCTGTGGACAGGTGTCTTTTATACAGGTAACAAGCTGAGATTAGGAGCACTCCCTTTAAGAGTGTGCTCCTAATCTCAGCTCGTTACCTGTATAAAAGAC